TGGAGCTCAGAATTTGAATGTTACTACATAGTGTTTTCCTTTGTACATGTATTTTCAGTCAAAAGTTGTGGAGCGCCATTTTAATGATATATTGCAAAGATATGGAGAGTGTGTTGCAGTTGACCTGACAGATAAGGTTAGTTTTTCTTTATCAATCCTTCCTAAGCATTACTGAGGATACAACTACTTGCTGGTACTTTATTTCTTTTATTGTTAATTGCTTTCTGTGGAAGATTTTCCAGATACAGATGGAAAAATTTAGGACAAGGTTTCTTCTGTCTTCTTTTAATCAATTCTAAGATAGCTGGATTTAGTTTTGTTATGGATCATCTACTAGCTGGATATCAACACCAATGAGTTTCTTAAACATTAATTTATGTTGTAAATTAATGCTTCATTCCGGATTAGATACTCTTGAGAATTTCATTAAGCTTGTCTAATTTATTTATGTAGTTTTAAATATATGGACTACATTATGTTTGGTTTGGAGGCTAGTTTCCTTATTATTGATCTAAAAATCTTTTTTAGTGTTAACGTTTCTGCTGGGTATCTAAGCCAGTTCATTATTGATTCAAAATTTTCACTTATCCATATTTTTCCTTGGTCCTTGTTTTGTTATTTCTTTTAGCACGGTGATGAGGGTTTATTGAGTATGGCTTATGCATCAGAAATGCAAAAGCTGCCAAATGTGAGGTGATTCTCATCTTCGTTTCTACTACTTTTGTACTGCTTATTTTGTTTTCTGTTAGGATCCTAAACTTCTCAATGTTGGGGAGGAAAATTGTGAAATCTACAGAAGACCATTATTGTCAGTTGATTTTGGCAGATGATAATTGGAAGGAAATGCAAGTAATAAATTGCTTGTCATGTCAATTTCTTATGGACCAGCATTATGCAGAAATACTAGCTCAATCCAGTGGTTTGTTCCGAGCTAGTATGATCAGAATAAGTGCTCGTGTGTGAGTGGTTTTTTGAAAAGCGATTTTTTTGGAAAATTTGTGGCTAAAAAGTAGGGAAAAGGTATGGGGAAATTTTAAAAATGATTTTTCTAGAGAATGTTGTTGAAAATGGGTGTAGGGGAAAATGATTCTCAAA